AAGCAGTAACTAACTCTATGTTAATATCTAACCTTTAAGTTTTATGATTTGTTTCCTCTATAGTAGAAACACAATGGGCCTCATGAACCTTTGAGACAGTTCCAAGCATTTGTTTCAGGAACTGCTTGCAGTTCCTTGACCTGCAAGACTCGCAGGGATTTTCTGTATTCCTTGTTCAGGAGTTAATTGAACATCACGGCCAGCAGGAATGTCTAAGGCAGCACTTTGTGAAGTAGCATGACACAGCTCAGTGACCCTTAGTTTGAATTCTAGTTCATTAGCTGATGATACAGCCCGGAACTCAGGGAACTGATAAGCACTCGTATTGTTTACTCCCGGGCCCCCAGCCAGGCCTGTTGACAAGTTTCCCTGAGGACCTGGAGTAAGGATTTCCAGATCTATCCTTAACTGAGCAACACTCATTGGTCCAATGCCTACTCTTACCACATTTTCTAGACTCCTGGAGGCAGTTTCTTTTGCTCATGTCTCTGATTGTTACTCTGTTTCCCTTTGCTGCAATCCCTTTTTACATGTCCAACTTTCCCATAGTTATAACACTTCATTTTATTCCGAGCCAGTCCCCCTTTTAATGCAGCAGCTAATAAATTAGCTGTAAAAGTGCCAGATCCCACATCCCTACAAGCCTTAATGTAGTCCTCAATAGTGCCTCCTTGTTGTTTCACCGAAATCAAGGCCTTTTTACAATCAGTATTGGCATTTTCAAATCCTAAAGTATGCAAAAGAATACTTTTCGGTTCTTCTCCTATAACAGAGCATTTTATAGCCTCATGTAATCTAGATAAAAATTCAGGATATGGTTCAGTAGGGCCTTGCAATATTTTTACAAATGATTTTCCTACTTTTCCTGCAGACTCTATTTTCTGCCAAGCTGTTAAACATATACTCTTTATAGCTTCCCAGTCTGAAGGTATAAGTAAATTATCATTTGCAAAGGCTCCCACAATTCCTTGAACATATGGAGAACTTGGACCATATGTACTAGTAGCATTCTTTTTTGTGTGTGTGTGTGGTATGTGCCCCTAGCGGGACTGAACCCAGGACTCTCTGGTCCGCAGGTCAATGCTCAACCGCTGAGCCAAACTGGCCAGGGCAAGTAGCATTCTTAAGTAGTGTAAGATATTGAAACTCAACTGCATTATGATTAGCTTGAATATAACCCTGTGGGTATTAGCATTAGCAGGCATTTGCCGTCTGATTACTGGAAATAACTTACAAGAATCATCTCCAATATGAACACCAGGTGACATTGCACTATCATGTTCCTCTAAAAGTATTTTTCCAACTTCAGATGAGTATGGAAATTGAAAATATGTCCTTTTCCTCTATTAGCAATAGCATATTGAGGTTCTTCTGGAGGGGCAGTAGGCTGGTTAATTACTGGATAAGCCATCTCAGCCCCTTTTGTGTTTTGTATGTCAAGGTGAGGGAATCGAGAGAGCAAAGTAGACCGCTCAACCTCCTTCCCATCCCTTTTCTTCTCTTTTCTATATTTGCCCAGATCTAGATATAGTGGTTTGGGACATTCGTCCTCCTCACTAGCTGGGCTAAAGGAGTCAGAGTCACTACCAGACTCCTTTTGAACTGTGTCTTTACTTACGACCTTGGGAATGCCTTCTGGAGTGTCATAGATACAAGAAGGTTCCTTGATTTCTTTATCAGACATTTTTTTCCGAATCTGATTGAAAAGCTGTAAAGCTAAAGCGGCTGAGTTAAAAGCAGACCAGGGTTCAGCATTAGTCAGCTCCCCAGTTTGATGAGCCCTTCCTAAAGCTTTTCCTACTTGTTTCCAAACCTTCAGGTTTAATCGACTTCTTTTATCTGGTGAAAACCAACAACAATGTTTCATTATTAAGGTTAAGAGAGAACAGAGTACATGCTCCTTAACTGACAATCCAGTACTTTTTAATAGAGACCTAAGTACTGCCACATTTCATCCATTAATGACGGGGAATTCCCCATGACTCCCTTCAAGATATCCCGAACGTTTTGCGTACCGGCCGCACAACCAAAAACCCTTTGGGTCTTACCTGTTCCCAATACTTACTTTCGAGCCCCAGTTGGGCACCAGATGTCGCAGTTAAAATGATCGGAGACCTGAAGAAAGCACCAGCAGGCAAGATGTATTCAAGATGATCGGAGGGCCACAGCTCTCTTCAGCATGTAGCACTGATTTCACGATCACCATGGCTTTTATTACAATGCTTAACAATTACATGTGCAGAGTATGTGAGTAACTACATGAGCACAAACAATGCTTGGCAAGCAGTAACTAACTCTATGTTAATATCTAACCTTTAAGTTTTCTGGTTTGTTTCCTCTATAGTAGAAATACAATGGACCTCATCTTTGAGACAATTCCAAGAATCTGTTTCAGGAACTGACTCGCTTGCAAGACCACGCAGAAAATTCGTCTTTAGCTGTGCTCCAGTTCTTAAGGATCCATCACACCACTCACATGCCACACACATCACACACATGCTCCACGCTCACACCACGTGCCCCTACACACTCCACACAACGAAGAAAAGTAGGACTGTCAGAGCCGCTCACCCCTCTCCCCTTAACCAGCCCCTCCCCCCATACCCACCTCTGAGCAGTTGCTCCTGCTTCACTGAGAAACAGACCTGAGGGCATGACACCCTCGGGCAGCATTTATCTCTGTCCCCACCATCCTTCCCTGCAGCATTCTCCTACCTCCACCCCAGTCCAGGCCTGAACCCTCTGCCCTGTTCCTGTGTGCTGGCTCCCAGGCCACCCCAGGGACTTCTTCCATGGTCTCTTCCTCTGGTGTACTCCGTGTCTCTTTCCAGTCCTCCTTTGGGCCTTACACAGGCTCAACCTCCGTCCTTTACTAAAAATAATGATAAACTATCCCTCAGTGTGACGCCTCTCCGGCCACAATACATCACTCTCCTTCCCTTCAAATTCCCTTCAACTGTGATCTTTCCTTCCTCAGCTCCCATGGACTCCACTGTCCTTGTGCGCGCGCACACACACACACACACACCACACGCACACCCTATACACAAGCACACCACTGTAGGGCTGCTCTCTTCACTCCACTCAGACCGTTCTCACCAAGGTTACTGTTAACTGTCATGTTGCAAAATCCAAGGTCTCTCCTCTGCACTTACCTTCGCTGGCCTCCTGATGCTGTAGCTAGATGACCCAGCCCCACTGGGGACCACTGTCTCCTTTGCAGGATTGCCAGGTAAAATACAGGACACCCATTAAGTTAGAATCTCAGGCAGACAACACATGTTTTAGTATAAGTATGTACCAAATATTGCATGGGACATATTTATACTGAAAATTATTTGCTGCCTCTCTGAGGTTAAAATGAACTGGCTGTCCTGTATTTTTATTTGCTAAATCTGGCCACGCAGTTCCCTGCTTCCCTGCCCACCAGCTCCCACCTTCCTGCCCCTTCTCTAGCTGTTCTGGGATGCTGGCCTTGACTGCCTTGCCTTCTCAAAGTCCCTGGGACAGGGCTTGACAGACTGCCCATCACTGGCAGCGTGAGGCTGTGCCCCGCCATTGCTTTGTTTCAGAGTGATGTGTGTTCCCAGCCTGCAGGCCCCTCCCTCCACTGACCCAGGGAGGGTTGTGACCACACAGTACAGGGGCAGAGCCCTGGGGCTGGAGTCCTGGTATTGGGTCCAGCTGAAGGGCACCTGCTCTGGAGCTGAGCTGACTCTCAGGTCAGAGCACCGAGGCCCATTCTTTACATCCCTCCCAGATCTTGCACCACAGCCTCTGCCCACCTGGACCTCTTGTCCCAAGTATTTCTTCGTGCCGGACACACTCACCCACCTCTGAGAACAAGCCCCTGCTGAGTACCTGTGGATGCACCACTCGGGGCCATGCTCAGCCAGAGCTGCTTTGCCTGAAGGCAAACCTGGGGGCGCAGCACTCAGAGGAGCAAAGGTGGGGGTATATTAAGGGCCTACATCACAATCTGACTTCTTTCCAGTCCTGCTTCCTCCTCTTCCCCTCACAGACATTGATCGCGATAAACATCATGCATCCCAAACTTTGTCTCAGTGTTCACTTTCAGAGAACATGACCTACAACTGTTCCCTTTACTCAGTCCCCAGGTCCTCCCTGCAGCCAGTTCCCTTCCATGTGTATCTATAAGGCCCTACTCGGAAGCTCTGGGGTCCAAAGTGACCAAGACATTGTCCCCAGGAGCTCCCTCCCTGGGCTGTGCCTCTCCCCTCCTCATGCCCATCCACTCCATCCCTCTCCATCAACCTGACTCTCTCCCTGGCCCCACACTTCTCTGCACCTCTGCAGCCCCAAGTTTCTCTCTCTCTCTGAGTCCTTCTCGTGGCGGCCACATGGCCAAAGTGGCCTGTCTGGGCACACTCAGAGGCTAGAGGCCCGAGGCACCCCCCAGGGGCAGTCCTGACCCCTTAACAGGCAGAGCCTAGGGGAGCCATTTATTCAGGGCTGAATAGACACATACTAACCAGGGGACTCAGAAATGTGTACCCTTCAAACTATACTCTAAATATGGCACAGTATTTATTTCACAGATACAGAAAAAACTGATTTTCTATGGAAAAAATCTGAGTCTTTATTTGTGATGGAAACAAGAGCTTTGTTGCATGCTCTCAAGATAACATTTGGACGTATATGGCATTGTCTTTGAGCTCCTGTCATTCCGGAGAGACTCAAGTCACTCCCTCTCTAAGAATGGAAGTGATCAATAAGAAAAGAATAGTAAAATCTCATTCAAAATATGTTTCAAAGTCCTCTTCCTGGCTTTCCTGTTAATAAAATATCTCATACTTTCTGTGACTCGGATTTTCTCTTGTTTCCTTTTGTGGTTTTCTAACCCTGACTCTTGGGAGACCCATAAAAGGATATACATTTTCAATTATAAAATAAATAATTTGTTCCCAGGAGATAGCCCTTTGGTTTCAGAATTTCAGGGCTGATTTCAAGCACCTGGCAGGGTGGGCCTCGGGGCTGGCCTGTGTGGGAGGTGCAGGCACCGGCAGCAGAAAGGCTGGGTTTGGGGAGGCGCTAAGAAGTCGTTTGTAGAAATGTCCACTGAGGGCGCTGCTTCCTCTGGTGCAACAGAACCAGCTTCTTAGGCATCCTGGGGTTAACCTGGGTGAACTGAACTCCATTCACAATCAATCCAATTCCCCTGTAGATCAGAAGAGCTGGCCCACCACACAACCCAACACTGTTCGGTCACTCACTCTTCAGACCTCTCCTGAGCCCCATCCTGGGAGTAGGATCCAGTTGACCTCTCAGGGTCCCACCTGGTCCCTCCGCTGTGGATCTCCCAGGCCAGAGGGCACAGCAGCCCAGGACAAGATGCAACAGGGAGTTTACCGAACACATGCAGGGAAGGGCAGGGATGGCAGACGGAGAAGTGGGACGTGAGGGAAGGCTTGTTCGGGAGTGGGTGAGACTGACCCACCAGCTGAGCAGATGCTGGGGCTGTCAGGCCTCACATGAAGGTCCAGAAGTCCCGAGCACCCGCCGCCACTGCCTGGGCATGGCGACCCGGCCCCGTGAAGAGAGAAGCCTCCTGGTGAAACGTGGCCACTGTGAAGCTGCGGCCAGGGCCTCCCTGGGGATCCTGGGCCTTCGAGTCACAGCTGAAGCAGCAAAGGATGCAGGTGATGGCCACGGTGACCACAAACAGCACTGCCACCATACCAATCACTGCCGTTTCCATGGCCCCACACAGCAGCTGACCGATGAGCAACCTGGGTTGCGGCTTGGAGCCTTAGCTCCCCATCTGAACCGGGCTCTTGCTGGTGACAGGTACCCAGCTCTTCCAGCCGCCGTCCCTGCGGTCTTCTAAGAAGATACTGGTCTGAGGACCCGGGTCATGCCCCTTCTGGCCCGCTGGGCACTCCGCATGGCACTACTCCGACCTCTGTCACTGTCTCCTCAGTCTGGCCAGGCTCCTGAGCTCTGTGGTCTCCACTGGTAGTTTCTGGAAGAAACGCTGTCCTGAAAGATGTGCGCTCAAGACGCCCTGAACGCAGGCGCTGGAAGGAGGGGGCAGAAGACTTTGCTCACAAGGAGCCTTGCCAACTCAGCCCTCTGGTGCCGCCTGCGGATTTCAGGAGCGTTTGTACACTCAGCCTAAAGACAAAGTACTCCCCCTCCTGCGGATCCAGGATGAGCTGGGGCTCCTCCCCTGGAGGAACCTTGACCCAGTCCCTAAATCAGCCTATCTGCTGCCTCCTGAGACCCTGGCCCTGGGCTGGGGGCAGGGACACAGGTGGAAAGGAAGCAATGCCAGCCCTGGGCAAGGCGGGGGAGTGGGGGAGTTCGCTGGGAGTGCTGTGGGGGCCTGGGCAGGGGCTGGGGGGCAGGGCCTGCTTCGTTTAGCCTCCTTTTCTGCGTGGGGTTGGGAGAGTGCCGTTAGATAGGGCGGGGACATCTGGCCTTTGTCCTCCAGTCCCTGGACAAGCCTTCTTCCGTGCCGGCCTTCCCCCAGCCTCCGTGCTGCCTGCTTGTGCCTGCTGCTCACCCTCGGATGTGAAAACTTACCCTGGGCTTTTCCGGAACAACGGCTCTGGCTGCACGTGGTACCGTGGTCTCAGGACCTGGGGCCACCCCGGAGCCAGGTCACCGCACACCCCACCCTGGGTGCTGAAGCCTTGGTCCTCCTCAAACTAGGCTCCAAGATGTCTGAGTGGCTGTGAGCACTTCCTGAATTCCTTCCTCCGGTTGTGAGTGAGGGCCCAGGGCCTGCGCAGCTGCCTGTGGCCCTTGGTGACTGCACTGACCCCACCCCCCAAGCACATCCATGCCATTCTCGCCCTGCCCTGCCCGTCAGGTGAGGGGGGGGGGCAGGCCACTGAGTAAGTCTGCCACACAGTCACTCGGTCACAGCCCTTTCACAGCCAACACCTCCTGAGACTGCCACCACTTCTATAAAGGGGACGAGTTATTATTCCACTTTACCCGAACTCTGAGACATAGAGTAGTGAGAAACAACAATTCCAGGTATAGGACACAGCCAGGCATTATCTCATATAATCGGTCCAGCAACGCTGTGAAGTGATATTGTCTCCGTTTTACAGATTCAGATGCTGGTGATCAGAGGTCACATGACCTGCCTGTGGCCTAGTGCTAATTGGTAGTGATCACAAGAGCACCAGATGGCCGAAGGGGGCTCCCTGGCCTTTCCTCCTAGTTCAGTGCTCTTTTCAGAGTGGTCGCCTCATTCTGCAGTTTTACTTATCAGAGTATAGAGGTTCAGAGAGGCCAAAAACTAGCCCAAGGTCACACAGCCTGGGTCCCTTTTAATTTCTCCAAGGCCCCAGTGAACTTTCTTTAGCACCAGCTTTAGGAAAAGGCCTACACAGAGAGTAGGAGAGTGACCACTGGGAGTAGGATGCCCTGTTAAATCCTCACGCTCCCCTTTTCTAAGGTGATTGAACAAACCTGGGCATGGGGCTCCTCCTCCAAGAGAGCAGAGGAGGGGCTTGGAGCAAGCCAGAGCCATGGCAGGAAGCTGGACACCTGGGATTTTCTGTATGAACTGGGACAACCAGAAGCAGAGAGAAGAAAACGTGAGAAACCAATCTGTGGTGCTGATGGTTTCCGATTGAATTACCAAGATCAACTGGTCAATCCAGGAGGGAGCAGGTATCAGGCAGACCTGGTTTCAAGCTGGGTTATTTGTTCCTTTGATTTCTCGTTTGCCTGTTCTTTGTGGGTGAATGGAGTTGGAGGCCGACTGTGGTAGGTATGCATTGTTCAACATTTTAAAACTAGAATAAAGGACAAGAGTTCAGCCCTCTTATCTCCTGCCTTATATCGGTTTCTGAGATTTCAGGACCCGTCTTTGATTCACCTATAAAATAGACCTTCCGCCCTGGCCAGTTTGGCTCAGCGGTTAGAGCATCAGCCTGCGGACCAGAGAGACCCGGGTTTGGTTCCCGCTAAGGGCATGTACCTTGGTTGCGGTTTGTCCCCGCCCTGGTTGGGGTCGTGTAGGTGGCAATCAGTCGATGTGTCTCTCTCACATCGACGATGTTTTTCTCTCTCACTCTTCCTCTCTCTCCCCCTCTCGCTCTATGTAAAAATGTCCTTCCAGTCCATCCTCATAATAGGCATTCGGTATTTGAATGGAGGCCGTGTGGGATGAGAGGGGCCTGGGTATCTAGTGAGGACAGGCACAGTCTGCTTTGAAGGCTCTTAGGGGTCTTCATGGAGCTCACACTGGCAGTCTGCAACAGGAATAACCAGTGTGGCATCTCATGGCTAGGGCAAAAAAATAACCATGGGTAAAAGTGGACCAAGTTCAGATACCTCCTGCAGGAGTAGGGCTTCTGCAGGTCCCAGAGATTAGTCGGCTCTGGAGATGGGTTGGAATGGTAGAGCCCTGGAGGCCAGCCTGGGCAGCCTCACCCTCCTCCCAGCTCTGCACCCTCTCCCCCAACCCTCCTCAACAGTCCCTTTCCAAGGCAGCCATCAACCTTTGCCCACAATTCAGAGATGTTTGTCCTAAGGGTGTTTTCCATGTCTCTTTTCTTTGACTTGTGACTTGTGTAACCCTGTAACATACAGTCCCTGCCCTGAGTCCCAGGTACAATGGGACTCCCAAAGACATCGATCACTTGGATATGTATGTGTCCTCCCAGCATCCATCATTGTCAACTGTTCAGAAAAAAAGACCATCTTCTATACATTCCTCTTGTATTAACAAAGGAAAAGGTGATGGCAGGCATCCCAAAACAAAGAGGATGCCAACCTCCCAGAGGGCACACTTAGGAAAGGCAGACCGTTCAAAACTGACATAGGGCTCTGCAGAGACCAGGGCAGGGAGGTCCAGACTGAAGGGCTGCAACCTCCACCTGTTAAATGTTTCCTGTCTATCAGACCCTCCCCGACCCCCAACACTGGTGAGATGGAGCATGAGCTTCCTCAGAGATGCCAGGAGCCCAAAAACCTAATCCCTCGGGGCCCTATGCTCTACACGTCCTGTGGGCCCCATCCAATCATATTTACTTTTCCAGAGAGTGTGAGTCTCTGAGAACCCTTCCTGAGGATCTGTTGTGTGGGCTGGTTCCGTGTTGGGGGCAGGGAGCCCTCAAAGTGTTCTCGGCTCTGTGAGGGCAGGGCCCTTGAATCCTGCCATAAATCTCTGGAGAGAGATAGAGTGTGCTCAGTGCTCCAAAAGAAATATAATAACAACAACAACAATAATGGTAACTTGGAAACCCACAGAAGGGTCTCTTCTTGGATGAAGACGGAGAGGGTAAGGGGCAGGTGTTTCCTGTGCTGAACCCGGAGGGGTGTAGAAGGAACGAAAGAGCAGGGGGAGGCAGAACCAACCAGGGGCCTTGAATGGCCAAGCAAGAGGCAGAGGCTTGATCTCCAGAGCCATGAGGAGTTTCAGCAGATCCCTCAGGCTGCAGCATGGAGATGCAACTGTTAACTCTGGGCAGGGCTGGAGGTGGGCAGGCTTGGAGGGGCTGTGACAGGAATCTGGGCTGGGGGATGAGCTAGGGTGGACGCGGGATGGGAAAGGGAAGACGGATTGGAAGGACACTGAAGAGATAAAATTAACAACACAAGGCAACTCATGGTTCCCTTTCCCAACCCAGAAATCTAGCGTGGCTATCTGTAAATTTGCCTCCCTTTCCCCCGTACCCCCCCCCAACCCAAGCACTCACAGAGAATCCACCGGGAAATTGAAAAGAAACAGGACGTTGTGTTCCAGTGAGTCAGCAGGCCCCTGGCCTTCTGGCCTGTTCTCAAGCCCCTCCCCACCACCTTGCCGGCCCAGGCCTCTCCTCCCTCCCTTCCCACCCCAGCTCAGGCGCAGGCTGCAGGCCTCAGAACAAGATTTCCTTCCTCCCTGTGGGATCCTGCCCGCTATTCCAGGGATATTTGGGAACATGCCTCCCGGCTTGGCAGGAAGGAGTCTCTGTTATCTGTCCCATTTCAGGGAACAGGAAACTGAGACTCGGAGGAGGAAAGCACTCTCCAAAGCCACCCAGCACTGCAACCCCAGTCTAAAGAACCCGCCCCTCCCTCCCAACCCCATTGCCACCCACAGGCACCAGGAGGGCAGGCTGGCTGGAGACTCAAGGGTTGGATAAGAAAACCTGACCCAGTCACCAAGGAAACATTGAATTCAGCACAGCCCATGGAGTGGGGCTTCTGCAGGTCCCAGGGCTCAGTCTGCCCTGAAGATGGGCTGGAAAGAGCACTGGAGGCAGAGCCCTGGGGCCAGCCTGGGTGGCCTCAGCCTTCCTCTCTCTCAGCCCCCAGACCGTCCCACAGAGCCCCCCCCCCCCCCCCCCGGTACACAGAGAGCCCCCTCTGGACAGGGCTCACACAAACCCTAAATCCTCCCTCAGAAATCGGACCCCATACCCTTCTCACCTACTGTCTGCAGGGCACTGCTGAACCCACCCAGTTCCCCACTGCGCAGCCAGCCTTCACGCCCCAGGCAGAAGCCACCAAGCCAGGCACTCACGTCCCATCAGAGAGGGAGGTCCCAGGGCAATGCAGAGAGGGCCTGGCCGCTCCCTCCCCCTTGAGTTAGAATCAAGAGCCTCTTCACAAAGCTTCTTGGTACTTTTTATTATTTTGTATTAAGATACCACTGAATTAACTGCAGCCTTATACTGCTTTCTCCAAATGCAAGGGTTTTGCCAGGGCCCCTCCCAGCTGCCCCACCCCCACCCCGAGCCAGAGGGTGTCCGAAGAGGAGCACTTCAGATAGAGCTCAGTGCATCGTCCACGCAGCAGTGTGCGTGACTTCTGGGGCCCGCTGGGAGTTACAGTCACAAGGTGGCATCCACCCCCAAAAGATCACCCCTGCTCTCACCCTCCTCACCCTGCAGTGTGCGCAGAGCCACCCAGGGGTTCCTCAGTCTTCTGTCTCGTTGGTTCACTGGGGCACCATATGCAAATAAAGCCCAAGCAGGACCCAGGTACAGTTGCCAGCCAGCATTCACCACAGAGAGCTGCCCTTCTGCTCAGAAACGTGGGGGTCCACTCCTCCTGGAGGTGGTAGGGTAGGCAGTGGCTGTCACCCACAGGCATCAGTGGTGGCCTCGGTGGGCGTGCAAGTGGGCCCGGTGGAGGCGGTGTTGGTGGAGATGGTGGTGGAGATGGTGGTGGTGGAGGCCCGCGTGGTGCATGTGAGACGCATGGCCAGGACGATGGGGATGGTGCAAGTGTCCCAGGTGGCCCCGGCCCGGGAAGAACCAGGGCTGAGCCCGCCGAACTCGGTTTCTCCTTACAGCTGAACGGTTCATCTCCACATCGTGGTCCTGCTGTTCGCCGTGCAGGCAGGTGGCCAGCAGCAGCAGCAGCAGCAGAACAGCCACAGCAGAGCCTGCGATCAAGCCCACGAGAGTCGTGCTCCCCAGGAGGCCTAGCATCTGGGAGCTGGATAGTGCCCTCTCCTTAGTGGCTCCTGCTGCTTCCTCCCCTTCGCGGCCTCTGCTCAGCCCTCACAGACTGTTGTCTCAGCTCCTGCTGGCTGGATAGCAGCCAGGGAATGTGGACACAGCCTCTCTGGGCTGGAGCTGCAGGCCAAGGGTAGGGCAGGCAACTGTTAACTCTGGGGAGGCCTGAGGGAGGCTGGGTGGGGACAGGACTGTCAGGCGGAGGCTGTGAGGGAAGAGCCCTGAGTCTGGAGACAAGATGTCTAGGCTCCCAACCCTGCTGCCTGGTCAAGTGACCAGGCCAGCGCCTTCCCCTCCCTGGGCCTCAGCTCCCTCCTCTTTTAGCAACAGAAAAGCACAGTGATTAAGAACACGGGTTCTGGAACCACACGACTCACTAGCTCTGTGACTGTGCACAAGTTACCTAACCTCTCTGTGCCTCGGTTTCCTCATCTGTAAAATCACTAATAAGAGTATCTTCCTCTGGAAACAGCCCAAGTGTCCATCAGTAGACAAATGGATCAAAAAGCAGTGGTACATACACACAATGGAGTACTACGCAGCTGTAAGAAAGAAAGATCTCTTATCCTTTGAGACGATATGGAGGGACCTTGAAAGTATCATCCTAAGTGAAACAAGCCAAACAGAGAAAGACAAGTTTCATATGATCTCACTTATTTGTGGAATATAATGAACATAACAGTCTGAGGAAGGGGGTAGTCCCGGAGACGCGGAAGCAGGGTACAGACTGACAATCCCCTAAAGAGGGGGTGGTGGGGGAGAGATAAACCACAGAACTTACATGCATGTATGCATGAACAGTGGACATGGACAACAATCTGGGGAAAGGGCAGGGAGAGAGAGGGAGGGGGGAACCAGTGGGGGAAAAAGGAGAAACATCTGTAACAAAAATTAATTAATAAAAAAAAAAGAGTATCTTCCCTCGTAGGGTTTTCTGAGGACTCAAGGAGTTAAGATTTATAAATCACTAAACCAGTTCCTGACACATTTGCCCTCAATATTATTGCAGTGAGTTTGAACTAGATGACTTAAGAGACCTTGTCATCTGAGAGTCTGTGGCCCCTTGTCAGGCAGGCCTCTGGGAATGTCAAGTATGTCAAACAAATTGTCCCGCAGCTCAGGAGCTCTGTGAGGCATCGTGGGCAGATTTGCATCCTACAGGGAGGCTGAACAACTGTCTCTAGGTCCTCGGTCCTGCGGGGTCTGGGAGCCAAGAGGACCTGGGTGTTAGCCCACGACTGCAGAAGGCAGGAAAGAGGCTGCTGAGCTCAGAGAGGGCAGGCCCCAGGCCCAGCCTCCTGGTTTCCAGTTCAACAGTCTGGACTTGCCATAAACGGCAGGCTCCTTGTTCCCCGTCTCACCCCCCTGCCCAGCAGCCCGGACATGCTATTCCTGCTGGTGAAGGATTTATAGAGGCAGGACCTGAGCAGCCACAGACTCCTCTCCCCTCCTGGTCCCGAGTCCCCTCTGTTCATCCTGGACAAGCACTGTCCATTTAACTCACACCTTAGGGATGGGCGCCCACTATCTTCCCGGGCAGCCCTTTCTGCCTTGCTGGGCTGTTCTCAAAGCTCTTCCTCACGCAGGGCCTCCCCAAAACTGCAGTTCTGTGACTGCACCCTGACACTGGTCCTCGGGGGCCCTCCCTGCTGAGCTGCCTGTCCGGTCCTCTCCGCTCCTTCCTGGCGTACGCTCCTCTCCCTGCACCTGAGGAAGGCTCCGCATCAGGCCAGGCTGGCCCCTGGGGCCGTGGCTAAGCCTCTTTCCTGACCCGGCTTGCTTCTGCTCTAGAAAGATGCTTAGGCAAGAGGTGACCCGCAGGGACTTCTCTCTCTGACCTCCGTGGGAGATGAGCTCTCGCAGGGAGGCCTCAAACCCTTAGCGAAAACTTTCTCTGGATGAAAATGCCAAACATTCCTTCCACCAAATTGGACTCAGGGGACAGCAGGTCTAATGAGTCCTGGGGCTTTCACCTCCCCAAGGGAAGACACTTGAACTTTTAATGATGCTGAAGTGAGAACTTTCTCCTGCCGCTTCTGGGGCCCTGGGAGCCCAGCTGCCTTCCCCAGGGGCCTGTTAAGGAGAGAAGTCTGCCTGGAAGAGGGGGAGAAACTTCCCTCCTACTGAGCTACTCCACGAAGATTCCCACGTCACAGCAGCCCCTGGAAGGGGCAGAGCCGCAGCCTGCAGACTCGCGGGGCTTTGGTTAGCACAAAGGGCCTCTCAGAACCACCCCGCCCTGCCCTCCCTGAGAGTTGGGGAAACTGAGGCCAGCAAGGGAAGGGACTTATCTAAGGCCTCCCAGCTTGGTGGACCACACTATCTAGCGGGCAATCAAGACGGCACGATTTTTGAAGGGGGAGCAGAGATTCGGGGGAGTCCCCCAGCCTCCTCACACACACATACGTAGGACATTTCTTTTTTTTTTTTGACAGGACATTTCTTTTCTTAGGTGCAGGGTCACTCCCCTCCTAGACAGAAGATAGGATCTCAAGGTGAACATTTTATTAGATGCTCTGGGTACTCTGGGGAAGGTGTTGAGACTTCAGAAGTGACTGAGACTTTCTTAGAGGCCTGACTGGAGATAGGGCTTGTAAGACTGATGACTTCAGAGGAACCCATGGCTGCGTCTAGGGATCCCCTTCCTCAGAAAAGCTACCCTGTGGTGCTGTCGTTTCTCCTATAGGATTGGGGGTTCTGCACACTTCACAAGCAACTTTTCTACCTGTTGAGGACCAGGGTTCCAGACTACATGGCTGATGGGCCAGCCTTTTGGAGTTCACATCATTTAACTTTACACCCAAACCTTCCGGGATGCACAGACTTATGCATGTTCTTGCATGCGTGTGTACACTTGTAAACCAGCACTGCTCTGTGGGCAAACTCATGCATCACGAAATACACATACACACACTCATGCACATATCACAAGTGCATACAGGTTCCAAACAATCTCACAAAATTGTGCTTGTACTAGCTGCTGGTGGTTCTTGGTTGTCCAGTGTTAGGGTTCATTGTTTTCACTGATTGGTGGCACCACCTAGTGGTCACACCACAAATAAATCCGTTCCGTGTTCTGACCTGTCAAGAGTTACAGTACCCTGATTTTTGTTTATGGAGCATAATATGAACCCATGCAGTTAATTCCTCTGTGTTCCAAATCCTGGTCCACAATTTTAAGGAATATATACACGATCTAGTACAGATGAAACCAGATGGATGGATGTATTGATTAGGGTCAGCTTGCCTAAGCCCTGTGATGGACGGCCAGGACTAGGAATAAGGGTGAGGTGGGCACAGGCGGGAAACACGCTGAGTGACTAGGGAACTGCATGAGTGTCTTCTCACAGAGCAGGTGGCCAAGGCCATCTTTTGTTTTGCCCAGAAAAGCAGGGACACTGGCCAGCAGGTTTCTAACCTGGGCTTTCATGCCAATTACAGAAGGAGACACTCCCCCAGTTAATCTTGGGCCGCCTCAGCAAACACTAAAAAAAAAAAAGCTGCCCAGCACAGCAAAGAAACTTCTCTCCTCTTCTCAGGAGGTCACCCTTTCCTAATCATGGCCAACTGGATCTCCCAATCCAGAAAACTAAACCACAGACTACCAGGTTAGTTTTTTTCTCTTTCTCCATCGCCTGGTGCCAACATGCTTGAAAATTACCTACGTAATTTTTTATAGAACCATTTCAAATTCCAGTCCCTAACAAACACAAATCTAGGTCCTTCCATAAAGTAAGCAAATAGAGAAATATTACTAGACATATGGCCCTGGTCGGTTTGGCTCAGCGGTTGGAGTGTGGGCCTGTGGACCAGAGAGTCCCAGGTTTGGTTCCCGCTAGAGGCACGTACCAAAAAAAAAAAATACTAGACATATGGAAAAACGATATATCCGTATCATATTACCAGTATTACTATAATATAAAAAAAAAAAAACAGAAATAGGACATCTCCAAAATTTATATTCTAAATAATATTCATATATGAATTTGGGAAAATATGCAAAACAGAACATTTACTTTAGATTAAAAATTAAATCAGAAAAGACTGCTTTGAGAACTCTCCCCGTAACTCTTAAAAAAAAAAGATATTGAGAAAGAGAGAGGAAATGCCCAGGAAAACAAATATACTTGTATAATAGATATTTCAGAAGTAGAGAACAGAACCCCTGGAGAAACAAGCATTAAAGAAACAGAAAACTTTCTGACCTGGAGAATTATGTCTTTAGATCAAAGGTGCCGAGTACTAGGCAAACCATTTGAAGAGGCCATACCAGACCATCTAGGTATATCTAAGGTGAAATTTTAACATTAAAAAAGTTACATAAAATAGGTATTGAGGAAAGTGCTTTCCTTTATACATTTTAATTCATAATTGCCAAAACTTGGAAGCAACCATAATGTGTTTTGGTAAGTGAATGAATAAATTAAAAAATAAGGTACATTCAGACAATGGAATATTATTCAGCACTGAAAAGAGATGAGCTATCAAGCCATAAAAAGACATTGAGGAATCCTAAATGCAGATTACTAAGTGAAAGAAGCCAGTCTAAAAAGCTATGTACTATATGATATTCTGGAAAAGGCAAAACTATGAAATAAATATGAGGATCGGTGGTTACCAGGAGCTACCGAGGAGGGAGGGATAAATAGGCAAAGCACAGAGGATTTTTTGGGCAGTGAACTATTCTGTAGGACACTATAATGGTGGATACATGTCATTATACATTTGCTCAAACACTTAGCATGTATAACACCAAGTGTGAACCCTAAAGTAAACTGTGGACTTTGGGTGACTATGACGTGTCAGTGTAGATTTGCTGATACTAACAGAGATACCATTGTGGTGCCAGATGCTGATAGAGGGGGAAGCTGTTGGGGGTGGGGAAGGAAGTATATGTGAAATTTCTGTACTTTCCACTCAGTTTTGCTGTGAATCTAAAACTGCTCTAAAAAATAGTCTATTAAAAAAAGAGAGAAAAGATAAAAAATAATAATAATCTTACTAATAACAGGAGCTGTTTAAAATGATAGAAAAAGAAACCTTTATTTTAAAATTTATACAATATACTTTTATAAAACTAGCATAACTCTGACACCAAACCTGATA